GTATGAAGAGAAAATTGATGCCTGCAGGAGAGAAAACTTCCTTTATGTGGAGGTTTTCCATTGTTTTCGCCCTATGCTACCACATATAGTTACCCTATAGGAACATGAATTGATGTGATTGAATTTTTGCTCATCTTGTATATGAGCATATAAATACAATATTTTACATACTAGTTCTAGAAAGAGAGAGTGCTGATTACACTAGAATCCAATCATACTAGAATCTCAGTGACAGTCCTGATGTTGTGGCACAATGTGGCCCATGGGTCTTCAACTTTCGTCTGCTTTGGACCCAGAACATAGGTTTGCTTTGGTTTTGCAAAGCCTTTGGTACTTACTCAATGATTGTCCTCTGCTCAGTTTTATTTGTAAGCAAAGACTTTATTTTCCCTCATTCAAGTAAGTCGACCCAAGGCCCTCAAAACAAAAGCAAAGTGATTGGCTGCCTCAAGTACCAGAGAGGTTTCAGAGTAGGGGTTTCATTCCAGTGCCTATTTTCAATATATATTATTCAAAGCAGCTTACAATAAGCAAAATTAACACAGTACCTGTTAAAAATGTCATCTTGAGAAGATAGTGTTAAAGCTGGGATGTGAACGGATAAAGCTTTGAGTAAACATTAATCCTTTCAGTGAAAATTAAAGTTAGGTTAATCATTGTTATTGCGCAAGTATACCATTCCTTTGTAATTTTAAAAATAAATAAAATAGCAAAAATGGCCAAATATATTAAATTTATTCCCAAGAATAATGAAGTAATTGTTCCCAGTCAGTCTATAAATTCCCATGGCTAGAATTCTGTGGGGGCTTTAGGTTGGCATGAGTAATCTGGTACAGATGCTTTTGGGGTGAAATGTGGAAGAGCTGTATGAAAGACACAGTTGCACAGACAACACTACCTACCCAGAACATTGTGCAAGTAGCAACACTTTCACTCCCTTCTTGTTATGTGTGTGGCAGATGTAATATTTCTGTTATGTGACTGGTTGTGAAAGGGTACAATCCAGAGTCATGTCTGTGTAACGCTCTTCATATATGTTTATATTGTATAATTGCTCAGAATGACCCTGGCGATTGATGCTAAATAATTAAAATAGTGACCTTCAAATTCATGATGAAAGATATAACCAGTTAGCGATAATGAATTAATTTTAATTGAATGTTTCTACACTTTAATAGAAATGTAAAAGGGGTACGCATGGCAGGGGGGTGGGAAACGCTCACAAGCACAATACAGTATTCAGTAAAATCACTTCAGCCTGGCATATTAAAAGCCAAAATGCCAAACAACTTACATACATACTTCCACAATACCAGTTCATACCCATTGAGAGCCTAATGTGATTATTTTTCTAGCCGTTGATTTAGAAATATAATGTATTTTCTGTGGGTACAGAGATTAAGGAACAGCACACTTCATGCCAGGGACCCTTGAAGCCGTACAGTCCTTCTGGAGGGGTGGGCTTAACCCTCCCACTAGCCATGATGACTGGGGCTGACTTCATTTACACCTTCTGACGGTTATTCCCCCCCCCCGTGCACCTCCAAAGGAGTCTCTCCTCATGGTGTCAGCGTGAGCAACTGCTGTCCTGAAGGTGGGCATCAGGAGTGTGCCCCTTGTCCCCAATAAATACCACACTGCCTTCCGGAGCTTCAGAACCCATGTTCGTTAAAAGCAAAAAAACCCGAAGTTGCCGTCATGTAACTTGGATATCTGCCAACTTCATGTACTAGGCTTCCCTCTCCCCTGCTGCCCAAATAAATAAATAGTGTGTTGCGACAGTCCCCTGAACTGACTTATCTATGGATAAGGAAGTTGTTACTGTATTTTTGAAATGAAGTGAGGGAAATCAGCATTGGGGCAACAGATAGAGATTATTTCTTCCATGTAGTAGTAATCCTGGGTTGTTCAATGGTAGAAGAAATGTGAGCTAAATTTTAGGGGAGGCTATACTGAAGGTGCTTTTTCTTGACTTCTAAGAAGCAGCTTGGGCCCCATAAAAGGCTCTGCATGTACTAACATCTGCAGTTAGTTCATAGGAGAGATGTTCATGTTGCGGATTGGTGGGATAGATGTATGTTTGTAAGGTTGTGCATGTGTGTGAGGACTTGAACCTGCAGTTGTTGAGAAAGTGATTTTAAAGATGGATGCAATTTATTTCCCAAAATAGATAATTTAAAAAAAAAACACACCCTGAAATTTGGCTGTTTTAGCACCTCTGAGGCCAATGAATATAATATAATATAATCGAGCCTTATCATTGTAAAGGCTGATGGGTGAAAGATGTCTGCATGCTATTTGTGCCTTTGACAGATTGCTCCCTGGGGAGCCAGACTGCAGATGAAAAGTCACATATAGCTCCCAGGGAGTTCTAAAATGTGGGTCCTGCATGACACTGATGTTGAATGATGGTATCTTCTGTAAGGGTCATTCCCGTGTTCGTGAGAGTACAAATGTCTTCATGTAACCCCATTGCTGTGTCCTATTCCTGAACTGCTTTTTTTTTTTTTTGCTTGTCCCCAAACTGCCTCTGAGGAGCTCAGACTAGCATATTTGTCTTTTTGGGATGTGTGTGTGTGTATGTGTATGCATGCTTCTGCATGCGTGCACACATGCTTTTTGGACATGCTTACCACCATCTCAAAGAAGGGCAGTGCCAAAGAATGCTCCAACTACTGTACAATTGCACTCATTTCACACACTAGCAAGGTACAAGGTAGGCTTCAGCAGTATATGGACCGAGAACTCCTGGAAGTACAAACTGGATTTCGAAGGGACAGAGGAACTAGAGACCAAATTGCTAACATGCGCTGGATTATAGAGAAAGCCAGAAAGTTCCAGAAAAACATCTACTTCTGCTTCATTTACACAAAAGCCTTTGACTGTGTGGACCACAGCAAACTATGGCAAGTTCTTAAAGAAATGGAAGTGTCCGACCACCTTATCTGACTCCTTAGAAATCTATATGCGGGACAGGAAGGAACAGAACTGGGAAAGGAATACGACAAGGCTGTATATTGTCTCCCTGATCATTTAACTTATATACAGAATACATCATGCAAAAGACTGGACTGGAGGAATCCCAAGGTGGAATTAAGATTGCTGGAAGAAATATCAACAACCTCCGATATGCAGATGATACCACTCTGATGGCAGAAAGTGAGGAGGAATTAAAAAACCTCTTAATGAGGGTGAAAGATGAGAGTGCCAAAAATGGTCTGAAGCTCAACATAAAAAAACCCTAAGATCATGGCCACTGGTCCCATCACCTCCTGGCAAATAGAAGGGGAAGATATGGAGGCAGTGGCGGATTTTACTTTCTTGGGCTCCAAGGTCACTGCAGATGGTGATAGCAGCCCCAAAATTAAAAGACACCTGCTTCTGGGGAGGAAAGCGATGACAAACCTAGACAGCATCTTAAAAACCAGAGACATCACCTTGCCGACAAACGTCCGCATAGTCAAAGCTATGGTTTTTCCAGTAGCGATGTATGGAAGTGAGAGCTGGACCATAAAGAAGGCTGACCACCGAAGAATTGATGCTTTTGAATTGTGGTGCTGGAGGAGGCTCTTGAGAGTCCCCTGGACTGCAAGGAGATCAAACCTATCCATACTAAAGGAAATCAAGCCTGAGTGCTCACTGGAAGGACAGATCCTGAAGCTGAGGCTTCAATGCTTTGGCCATTTCATGAGAAGAGAAGGATCCCTGGAAAAGCCCCTGATGTTGGGAAAGTGTGAGGGCAAGAGGAGAAGGGGACGACAGAGGATGAGATGGTTGGACGGTGTCATCAAAGCTACCAACATGAATTTGACCATACTCTGGGAGGCAGTGGAAGACAGGAGGGCCTGGCGTGCTCTGGTCCATGGGGTCATGAAGAGTTGGACATGATTTAGTGACTAAACAACAAACACTGCATCACAGTGACCCTCATATAACTGATTCTAGGTTTCATCTTAATTTTTGGTTCTTGCTATTTCAAAACTTTTATTACTAGCAGCATATGTTCTAAAGTAAAAATATTGTTGCCTCTATCATAATGCTTTAGTTTTTGAATTCAGTTAAATATTAAGGGGACGTAACATTACAAAGCCTTTTCTGTGTGAATATTTTCCCTTTTTTTAATTCTGAGAAGGACAAACACATAGTTTTGTTGCTGCTTGACAAAAGCTTACAATTTACATAAATAACTTTCAACGGAATAGCTCAGAAGGTTGGAATAGAGATTTCAATCCACGAACCGGCAGTGGGGTATTAGATTCTGAACGGAAGCATTGTTCATCATAAGCAGAAGACTATTCACATTCAGAGTTAAGCAGAGCTGGCATTAACATGCAGCTAATTTGTTTCATGTGATTTCTCAGCTGTGGTTTTTCTTTAAGTCTTCAGCTCTTTTTGGAGTTCTGTTTTGTAAAAATCAGATGTTGAGAAATGTTTTAACCCTTTCTCCTCTGACTTGACTGTATTTGCTATGATCTCAAATATGCTTTGCATAGACTGAACATGTGAATACATATAGTGCATTTATAAACTTACAGATTTAGTCCATTGATTCTTTTCAGGAAAAGCATGATTAAATGTGTTTTCAAATCCAGTTAGTTTATCTGCAATAAATACAAGACCTGACAGTGAGTTTGGAACCCTTAGCAAGACTTAAAAGAAATAATTTATTAATGTATATTTATTTATATTTATTATTATATTTTCAAAAACCAATTTAAAAACGTGGATGTTTAGGCAGGCCTTCCCTCCAGTTAATTCCTGATTCTCTCCCCTCCTTTCTCTATTATGGTTTATTTTTCGCTTGTTCTCCATCTTGAAGAATTGCCTAATTGTGTAATAATTCCTTTTTTATATATATTTATTCTCGTATTTTGCGTTGTAAGCCGCCTAGAGTGGTCGCAATGACCAGATAGGCGGGATATAAATAGAATAAATAAATTAATAATAAATAAATAAATGTTGAGCTTATTTTACTCTGGAGTTTATTTTGCTTTCTTTAGAATTTCAAAGAATATTCCAACGACTAAAGATGTTGAACCGCTACTTGAAATCGACGGGGATATTCGAAACTTTGAAGTATTTTTGTCTTCACGAACTCCAGTCCTTGTAGCACGTGATGTTAAAACCTTTTTACCTTGTACAGTGAACCTTGATCCAAAGCTCCGAGAAATCATTGCAGGTACATACATGTGTTGCTATTTTAATGCCCCTGTTCTTAGTACATGTTTTGTTAACAGTGATACAGTCCAGATACGGGTTAGTTGTGCTGGCATTAGGGGTGTGGTTTAATTTGTTGTAACAAATGGCTGCTAGTTAGTGAGTTGCTGCTTCTACACTTAGCACAGAGGAACCCACTTGACTGGCATGCAACGAGGGATGACAATGACAACTTTTTATCTTGTGTGAAATTGCCCCTACTACATGTAAGCCAGTGTAGGAGACCAACAAGAGTATGGCCATTTGTTTGTTGTTAGAATCAGGAACTTTACAAAGACAGTTTTTTAAATACATTAGAGCTTAACAAATGAGTGAGCATTTCTTGCGGGGGGGGGAGTACTCAAGTTAGTCTCTTGCAGCAAAACTCATGAAAGAATTTTGTGGCACCTCAAAGACTAAGAAGTTTGAGTTGTCATGAGCATCTGTGGACTGAAGCCCTTCATCAGGCATATGTAGGTAGAAAAAACACCTTTGAAGTGCCACTGCCAAAGAACACAAAGCACAAATGCAAGGCTGCTAAATATATTGCTGCCTTCCCACAGGGCTGCAGGATGATTCAGATATTCTGAGGAAGAAGAAACTCTCTAAATTCTCCCCTCCCTCAGCAAGTTTTAATAATGGGATGCTATCAAATCAATTCTGACTTAAGGCCACCCTTGCCAGGGCTTCCTAATTATAAAGTGCTCAGAAGTGGTTCATCAGTCTGTTTTTCTGAATAGGTCAGAGTACATGGCTGCAAAACTAGAAGCCTGGAGTTTGATTCCCCAGTAGGCCTTCAAACTGCATAGTCCCAGGGTGACTTTGGAAGAAGAGAACGAGAAATCATTTCTGAGTATTTTTTTTACCCAGGAAACCCTGGCAAGGGTCTCCATAAGTCAGAATCCACTTGACAGCACGTAATTGCTATGATTATTGCTTTGCAAAAAAAGTCAGCAGTATTATACGAAAAAGGCTGTTGCCTTTTCTATATTACAGGAAATAGCTACTTGAGGAAGTTTGTATAGTAAGATCTGGACTTCCCTCAGTTTACTAGGCATTATGTAGCAGATCTCTCCTAGGCAAAAATGACTTTGGAAGAAGGATTCTGCAGAGAGCTTTCCCTTTGACAGAACAGAATAAGAATGTTATGGGTTGTTTGCTTTCACTAAATGCACTCTTATATCCTAATGCAAAATGATTCATACTGAGAGAGAGAGAGGATTTTCTGAATTTTTAATTTTTCCTTACAGCTACATTCAAGAATGTTGCAGCCTGTTAAATCTTGAACTCTTGGTTGCTTTGTTTTTAGACTTGCTGTTTTCACTGCTCCATTTTGTAGCAGCATTACCCTTGCACTTTCAGGAGGTCCATCTGTTCCTTGTTTCTCTGTTTTGAAGTCCTATATTTTCACTATGAAGTAGAGGTCTTCTCGACTTCCCTGACCTCAGGTTTCCACACCTGCCTCTCTGGTTCCAAGAGAGACTGATCCTGATGTTTAGGGCCCTTCTGTTTCAAGAGATCACAACAATTTTTCAAGTAACCGCCCCCGCCCCTTTTGTTCTATAAAGAAATGAAATGTAAGATAATTGAATTCAGATTTTTGTGTTTGTACCCTTGTTTGTTACACATATACATTGAATATTTCAGATGTCCGTGCTGCGAGAGATCAAGTTAACATTGGGGCTATCCCATATCCCACATTGCCTTTACAAGAGGCGGCTCCTAGAGCATCATCGGTATTTAGTCAGCCATCGTCAGCCTGCTCTTCAACACACTCCTTTAATGGGCCTTTCAATGCAGGAGTTGTATCACCACAACCTCACAGCAGCTACTACAGTGGAATGACAGGACCTCAGCATCCTTTCTATAACAGGGTAAGAAAGATAGCTGCTGCTTCACATTTACACAGGATTGTCTTTTGTTAGTCAAGCTTGGTTAAAAACACAGTTGTCTTTTTTATTATAGGTGAATTATCTCAATGGTAGTATGAAGTTTGTGAAGATACTAAGTAGCTATAAGACTTTGCATAAATTTAGGAGGCAGGCAAATGAATGAAGACTCAGATCCATGTACACTAGTTTATTTATGGACAGAAGATGAGCAGTTTAGGGTGTCAAGCATACATTGAAGTGATTATTCTGAGAGTATCAGTACAGAGTCTAATATACAGGTATTTGCTCAGTACATTTTGAATCTGAATAAAACAGCATGGTGCCAAAGCTGCACATTAAAACTTCCCTAAAAAAGTAGGTTGAGTCAGGATGCTTTGTTACTTGGACATCTGTTGAACAGTTCCCAGATATCTAAACCAAAATTTTCCTAACATATTGACTTCCATGAGATTATCGTGCCCATGGAAAGTATACAAGCTTGAATTAGTGTTGTTTTGGCCCTACTTCTTAATGGTATCATTGGATACTTTCCCAGTTAAGGTATGTAAATGTTGTCTTATTTGTGACAAAAATGTTTCATCATCATAATGTTTGTCTGTCATTGAACTAAATTGAAATTGCCACTGACCTCAAGAAGGGGTAGGTAACCCTACCTAACAAATTCACCTTTTATTTGTTTCAAAATAGGCTTGCTTTATTTAATGCCAAGAGGTGAACATTTCAAATAATGTTTTATGTTTTTCATTCTTAAATAAGTTGTATATGTTGAATTGAGTTTTTTGCTTTCCCTTTGATTTTTGTAATGGTCCCTTTTTGTTACATGTTTCTTTCCATAGCCATTCTTTGCCCCATATGTTTACATGCCAAGGTATTACCCTGGTAGCTCTCATCTCACCTCACGTCCATCATTAAAATCGTGTTTGTCCAGGGAACAGAACAGTGGCCTAGTAAGTATCTCAAACAGTAAATGAACATCATAACATACATAATAAGACGAGTCAGTAACATTCAAGTAGTTGTTTTAATATTGGCAAATAGATCAGTAAGCTCTTTCTTCACAGGTATTTTTTATAAAGCTTCAAGATGAAGCTAGCTAACATTGTAAAAGGTCTTTTGCTTCCCTTCTTTAACAAGTTTGTATTCACAGAAATTTTGTACAGTTTGAGGCCAAAGAGTAAGTATTTTGAAGTTTAGAGTTAAAGAATAATATCTAAAAATCTGAAGGAATATCTTAAAAGTGAGAATATGAAGGTCCTGATGCAGTAAGTAATAGATGTAGTAAGCATTCTGTGAGTTGATAGAATTATTAACATAGCTGTGTTTAGAGATTTAAGAAGACTAATGTTAACTCATAATAGTTTAAGACCTTTATCTTGCTTTGAGGTTAGACATCTGTATAATATGTGCAGACAATCCATGTTTCTGTAACAACTGACATAATTTGGGAAATTTGAAAATGTCTTGACAGAAATTTATTCTAACCCTGTTGAGAAAAAGATAATGCTTTAAACAAAAGCATTTGACTGGGATATTTTGGTTCTGGATCAGTGATGTGTTTAAAGCAAAGCTATGCAGAAATTTTCCAACTTTGCTTAAAAATTCATCTGGGCTAGGGATAGTCAAACCATGGTTGGTGGGCCACAACTGAATTCAAAGGCCTCATTTTTCCCTAAGAGATTTTCTTCCCCTTTTCCTGGAATGACTGACCCAATGTTGAGTCATTGCAGAGACTTGCAGGGAATGTAGTGCTAAATCACCCCTGATGGTAGCGTGCTCCCTGATTTTCTTTTTCACTTCTAGTTTATGAGCAAAATACAGTTTCACAAACCATGGTTTGCCCAGTTTGGTTGTAATGACAAAATGATGGTGTGATGCTAAGCCAAATAATAGGAATATGAAGAGGAGAAGGAAGGAGAGTCTGTGCAAGTTTAACATACATTCTGGATGCATTGGCAGTGCAAGGCAGTTCTACAGACCAAGAATAAAATCTTGTTGGGGCCACATGCACTTTGGAATAATTCTCACATTTCCTGTTACTGTTTTTTTTTTTAATGTTTTCATAGTATATATCTGTTGCTCTCCTTTTCATCTGCTGTTCCTTCATATTTTGGTTGCATGTTTAACAATGTTGTCCAAATCATAATAATCTGTTGTTGTTGTTAGGATATTATCAAGGAGGATGCTGGTGAATGGCTTCCTTCTCCCACAGACCCCTCAATGGTAAATGAGTAGTCATGTGGTGTGGAACCTTAGCATCTCATTGCGTCTTCAACAGTAATGAGTCTGCTTTAATTGTAACTGCAGTTCACTAACACTGCATCAGTGGCTTGATGAACAAATAGAGTAGATGAAGACTAATAAGCATAGTTTGTGAATGAATACAACAGCTAATATTCTCATAAAGGTATACTGTATTTTTTTGCATTTCCCTTGCTACCTGCAGTAGTCTGTGGATTGCAGCCTTTTTATTAGAATACAGTGTGTGCCATCTTCATTAGCTGTATTGTGCTGATGAGTAGAATAGATGTAAGATATTAGCGATTCACTTTTGTAGAAGTGAGTGGCTGAAATCTTCTCTAAATGTTTTAGCACAATAATCCACCCTTGTACTTTCTCAGTTACATAAGGGCATAAAGCTATTGCAGTCTACAAGGTACAAAGCTGATTAGAGGGCAGTTGTGAGGATAGAAGATAACTGTTACGAGCCTCCAGGATGAGTCGAGTTTCACATTTTTTAATTGTAGTACTTCCGGACATGCACACATCTTCATAGCTTACATTAGGCACCATCTTGGATCTTATTTCCAAAATTTTTGTCTCTTGTAGCAATTTGAAATTGGGTACTGTGTAGCAGTTTTTAGCCATGACTGAGACATTAACTATTGACCATAAAGTTGGATTGTAGACTCTTCTCTCAACGGTATTACCCCGTTTTCTGCAACAGCTTTTACTTTTATGGCTCTGGAATTATGTTCAAATTCTAAATGCTCATGTTGGAGGGAAACGTAGTGCCTCCTGCACTTCCTTCCTAATATTCTGCTCTAGTCCCTTGCCGTTCTGTTTGCGGACACTCCTCCAGATCTTCACTGCTCATGCACCAATGTGGCGTTGGTCTCTAGGAACCAGCATGCTTCAATGACACCTGCTAAAAAATTGCCCCCTTCCCCCACTTGCATCCCTACTGTTAGTTGACCGAGCCCTTCTTGCTCCTGCAACTCTTGGTGCAAGTCTTGGATACAGCTATATGTCAGGGCTCTGCACGAGAGGGACAATCAAGGTACAACTTATTAACCAAGAGGAAGTTGGAGTGATCGTGACATATGATCCAGGTGTCCTCCCTAACACTGTGCTTGAATAGAATGGGTTCTATCTTCAAAGATTACTTTGAGGGAAGACTACACAGAAGCATTCATATAAACAAATAGATAAAATGATGTAAATTTTTAGAGTAGTGACATACAGCCTGATTCTTTCCCTTAGATTCTGATGCAAGAGTAGCTCCTTTGCTACGGATAGCAAGTTCATGTTTTGAAACAGACTTACAGCAAGTTCACATTTTAAAGTAGATTCTTTTCTCCACTACTTGTGTTTATCCAGAAGTGCATTCCAACGAATTAAAAACAACTTGCTTTATAATTTGGTATGGATGTTACCAATAGTAGAGATATGATGGCTGTTCATAGAATTTCTCAAATCCTGTGATTTTTTCAAGTTTTGGCATGCCAGAGCTCCCTGCCGAGGCTTCCCCCTTGCACCAGGATAATATCCTCCTCAAGAAAACAAAATCCTGGTCTCATTCCCCCACTCCTTACTTTTTTCATTTTTTTCCAGCCCTTGTTCTGCACAGGAAACTGCCAAATTCTGCCCACCTTAATGCCTTTTCCACTGAACCCAGCACAGGAATGATATAATTTTTGTAGCAATCCAGTGCTGAAGCATGCTCTGAGCATGGTTGTTTTTTCTGGGGCCTAATAGTCCTAAGAATGTAATGGGTATACATCTTGTATATGTATTTGGAGGGAACTCTCACTGGGCTGTAATTCATGTCTGCAACATGATGTTGTGCCATTTTAAGTGAATCGTTCCTATTTAATGTTGATTCTTTCTGAAAGTTGTGAATCTTTATAAAGTTTGAAAAATTGTCTGTGCCCTAATATATAGCTTTCTGTAACAATTTCTGCATTTATTTCTGCATTTATTTCAAGTCATGGGTGGGTGGTGGGAGAATCCTATCTCGGTAAATGACATGGGAGTTGTTTTAAGTGTGTGTAAGAGCTTGGGGGGGTATTAAATGGGTTCTTGTGCTTGAACAGCAGGTCACCTGATGCCATATCACAGAATGCTTTTGAAAGGCCAAAAGCTTAGTGTAGCACAGAAGCTTTTATAAGAGAACAGCTGAGGATCCCTTTCAGTGTATAGAACTCATTGCTTGGTTCCGTGGATTGTGGCCAGTTGTGTTGTAATTGATGTTTTCTCTAGTGGTGATCTTTCATCACTTTACAGAGGGCATCTATAGTAGGTTGTTCTTTCATGATTTTTTCTCATCATGTTAAGCTATGTTATTTTTTTATCCTTTTTCTTAAAGCAATGTAAGACTGGTTTAAACAGACAAAGACAGGTACAGCAAATTTCTCCAAACTGTTCATTTGTTTTGATGTATTATCATTAGAGAATGTACATATTAACACTTCATGCAGGTACACGAATGCTCTGTAGCTGCCTTGAGGATTGCTTGACATCCTGCTTCTTAGGTTTCGCATGGCAAAGGCTCAGGAGAAAAATATTTTTGCAGCAACTTTGAAAACAAGCTAAGATAAGGAAAGGGCAGTTTTAAAATTAATTCTATAATTCTTGTATGCTCTGATAAATATCACTAAAACATTTACACTGCTTTTTGCACTGTTCAGGCACTGCTCTTTAATCAGGCGTGGTTGTGGATTAAACTGAATCTATCACAAGATTCATGCATTGACATCAATCTACCTACGTTTGTATTTTCTCTTAAGTTTTACCGCGTGACATCTCTGCTAGGCTAGCTTGCACTGCATGCGGAAATTACTATTTGTTGGCGAATAAAACCATAGCTATCTATTACATTTTGCATTTGAATCTTTTTAAACTTTTGAGCCTTTTTCACTATTTCTTTCATGGTATAAATACACTGTTCAATTAACTGAAGTGGAACACAGACTGCTTGAAAAAGACTGGCAGGGAAATAATAGAGAAATCATTTGATACAGTTAAATCCATCTAAAATGTAATGCATTGGAGTGTTACACACACATATACACACCACACTCAGTTGTGCTGGTTTTATGAAAATGGTTATTTCTGTAAAGAAAATCTTTTGGACTAGAGAGGAATGTTTCCCAGTTCAAACCAGTCTGCTGTTTTCTTGAAGGAGTAAAAAAATTAATACCCGGCTGTGTGGATCCAAGCGGCCACAGTTGGTCTACTGTGTAGATGAAAAACTGTTCCATGGGAAAGATTTATATGGCTGAAATCCTGTTTGTACCATAAGCCTAAGCATAATTTTCCATCTGTTTCTCCTTGGCAAAGAAACCATCTCTGCCATGATTCTTGGGGTGCACACACACATATTGGCTGTTTGTGTGTGTGTGTGTGTGTGTGTGTGTACGTGTATACGTACGCCCTCAAGAATCACAGCAATGGTGGTTTGTTTACGAGGATGGAACAGATGGAATGTTATGCTTGGGCTTGTGCTACAAATAGGATTTCAACCTAAATGTATATAACTGCAAACTCTCTTTTCAACTTCCCTCTAAAACAGTAATAGCAGAATGGAGATTTTTCTCCTTGGATCTGATCAGAATACCAGTGTGCATGGATTGTGGGAAATGAGTAGACTCATTGCTGACATTTTGGGTCATTAAAAGTGTACTCTCCAACCTCCAGAGGTTTTGGATGCCACTGCCCATGTTTCTCCATTATGGTCCATGTCAGCAGATGGGAATTGTATTCTGAAATACACTTTGAGTAGGATCAGATTAAAGAAAATATAGACATATATAAATTTTTGATTTATATCTGGTAAATGTATTATCATAAAACTAAATTTCTTAAGAAATATTTTCAAAACTTGTCTGAAGGATTGTAAAAATTTAAAAACAAATACGGAAAATGGTGTGCCTCTCCAATGCTGTAGGGATGATTTCAGAATCTTTTAGTGTTACAGTGTTACTCACATGTATAAGTTGTACAAAAGTGAGTTGAATAGGCTGGGTATTGTCTTTTCTTTTCTTTTTTCTTTTAGATACATGAAGAACTTCTGAAAAATCTTTGCTTTCATTTTATGGGAGAGCAGATATTTTTAGAATCACGCCCAGCCCTGTTGTTTGTCTTGATCTTGTTTATCAGTTCTGTAATTCATAGGTTTCCTCAATATCTTGGCTTATAAAAAAAAGGGGAGTTACGATTACCTCGCAGAAGTATGATGAATTTGTCCGTGCCTCTCTTTTTTTCAGTTATAAAAGCTTTTTTATCCTTCAATGCTGCTGGCTAACTCAGAACATCTTTTAAACTTTAATGTCGTAAAACAGCCAGAGGGTGCATTGATTGTTTTCTGTCTTGACCAGTGTCTCTGATCTTATGTGATTTTATCTAAATAATGTATTTTTATCTTCCTGGTAACTAACTGTAATAAATTATTATTATTATTACTATTGTGATGAATTTGAGTGTGAGAGGCTATTTTCTAACAATTAAGTTTAGCAAGGGAGCCATTGTCTTTTAAAGGGCCACTTCCCTTTTGGAGACATGCCTATGTTTTTAAGGACCTATTCCCATAGTAGGAAATCCCAGCCCTGTTTTGTGGCTTTTGTACTGCCAGTTTTGAGCATGCATGTGTCTGCCTTGCATATTACACATCTAAGATAAAAGCACAGTAAGAACTCTTAACATGACACACACACTGTGGTGCTGGATCTTTCCAGAAGGTGACGTGTGTAAAATAGGAACAACACTTTTTGAGTCATTCTTTTTTTTATTGACTTAGTGAAATTTTAGAACTTGCATGCGTTTGCTGAGATCTGGATATTGCATCATGAGATTAGCTGCTCCTCTTTATTATGCTTGAAAAGTGCTAGGACCCCTTGTGACAACTGTCACTAGTGATGTTTTGAGTATCGTCTGCAGTTCTGTTTTTGTTGGACGCCTGTTCTCCACAATAGAATCTGCCAGGAATAAGGCACTGAAGGTGTCTCTGAAGAACAAGTGTGCTGCAATGGGTCAAGTGTATTGCACATTTCTGTGCCTTTGAATGGAATTTGTGTTTTAGACATCTAGGAAAAGATCTCTTGGTAGAAGCCCTTGCTTGTCCTATCAAATAAAAGCGTGGTGAACATGCATATCCTTATACCTTGCATAGGGAACAGGCTCAGGCCCCTCTCATGTGCCTTTGAGCTCGATGACCGTTGATGCAGTGTGTGAAAAACTGAAGCAGATAGAAGGACTGGATCAAACCATGCTGGCTCAGTACTCCGCAACTATAAAGAAGGTGAGTTCCTTCATGCGTATTACACATCTTGTAACTACTTTTGTAAAAGACTACCGATATCTGTGTTGCACAAAAAATGTACTGAATAGGAGGCTTAAATATTTTTGTTCAGTGCATATGAAACAAATGTCATGAAAATTTGATCTCACTTTAAATGAGTGGGATTCATCATTTTTAAAGTACGTTGTGGTTCCTGAACCATTACTGAACGTGAGGCTCAATAAGGTTCATCTGATTCTGAGCCAAGTGGAATTGGATGCACACGCACATCTTTGCTTTATGAGGCATTACAGAAAAGGTGTCTTACTTTCAGTTCCCCAATGCCCAGTGTTTCTCAATGTCATGTTTTTGTATTGGCTAAAGTGGACTCCCTGATCTTATCATTTGTAAAGCTCTATGTTGTGATTTGTTCTAATATTTTTCATCTGCCTAAAACTATTTCAAGTAGTCACTAGGAGATACTATAGAGCCTTCCAAAGATGTATTTAAGCAAACCCAGCATGGCAGCAGCAATAACGGGGAAGTGGACTTGATCCACAAAAACTTACATTAAAATATAGCAGTAAATCTTTAAGGTGCCACAATGTTTTTTTCTCTCTCTCCTGGTTTTTTTAAGATCAGAAGACATAGGAACATATACAAGATCTTTTGTTCCTTTCTAAAATCGCCACATTCGTCATCTTCTCTCTTCTGTTTTTCTCCCTGACATTTCCAGTTCAGAAAATCTTATTATTTAGACATCTCCCATTCTCATACACTCCAGTTTAGAAGTTCTCAGATGCTATATCTCTTTCTTAGGAATATCACAGATAAGTTGAAAAACGTTCTTTTGACCTGTATGTACACATGAACTGTATAGAGAAATATTCTTCCTAGACCCATGCACTCAGTTCCACACAATATATTTTTAAAAAATTTTTACAGGAAAATTAGATCTTTGTTTTCAACAGAGATTACAAAAAGGTGGCTGGATAGCACCCATGACAAAAGCCTTTAATTATGTCTTTGGAACACATGACTTTCATGCCTTCATGTTTCTTTGTTTCTTCCTAACATTACATATACTGTGCAGCAAAATGTCTTGTGGCATCTTAAGGCTAACCAGTTTTATTTGCTTTTGTGAACTATAGTCCTTTTTTTTTCCCAGAAAGCATATGCCAACGCAAAAGTTGTAAAGTTGTTGGTCTTTAAGGTGCCATGAGTCTCTTTGTTGCTTTTGCTGCAGTAAATTAACAGAGCTACCACTCTGGAAATTAAGCATGTATTTGCACAGGAATTTTAGTTTCCTTTAAAAAAATCTATAAAAATATTTACCAGTGACCATGAAAAAGTTGCCTGCATTCTGTTTTTCTTAAATTATGTTTAGGCAAATATAAATGGCCGTGTTTTAGCACAGTGCAACATTGATGAATTGAAGCGAGAGATGAACATGAATTTTGGTGACTGGCATCTCTTCAGAAGTGCGGTAAGATGATTTCAAGCCTCCTGTGTAAAGACACATGTCTTGATGATAGTATTTGTATGGGCTAATCTTACACATCTTTATTTGGAATTACATCCTGCAGTGTTAATTAATGCCAGTAATTTGCATAGGACTGAATCTTATCCATGGTTCAGTTTGTACTATTTTCTGATTTAAAGCTTTGTTTTTGCTAGTGTTTAGCAGTGGTGAAAACCTTGTTACAGGTTTTTTCCATGAAGGGTAGGGTAGTGGTGGAAGTCATGGTGGCTAATTGAGTGTAATTCACAAAGTGCTGGCTACATGAATAGACACACAATTGGCACTTCATGGATTAGCCTCAATTAGCTGCTGCAGTGTTTGTAATTGTTCTACCCAAGTAGGGGGGGGAAACAGGATTTGGCCGTAGTGTTTTATATAAATTGGTGGTGCTATTCTTGAAATTCATATTTTGCATGAAGTTTGAGGCCTTGGAACAGTTGTCTCTTCTCCCTCCTGTTAATACATCTGTTAAAAAACAGGAATATTTATCAGAGGCAGGAACGGAACAAGGTTTGTGGGAAAATGCTAATTATATACCAATTACTGTCAGTTCTTGGGCAGGTTGCATCATTATTTAAGCCTTATTTTGGGGGGAAAAACAATATTGAGACTGTATAACTAGGGTAAATGCATGTGTTTTAGTCAGCCTCTTTGTAAAACATAGATACAAACATAGCACAGGATCCCAAGGTTTCTCTTAAACTGGGGCAGATCTCCTCCTCTGAAGCTGCTCAGGTGGGATGCCTGCCTTTCCAGAATGGCTTTTCAGCAATTACAAAGGCTGGCAGAGGGTTCACAGAAGTGCTGGTGCCCTTACAGGCATTTGTATTTTGCAGCTGTTTGAGCGTTACCCTGGGACTTGGAGAGATAAATGTCTACCGTTCAGTTGGCCTGTTTGCCATTGTTTTATCCAACATTTAATGACTTCATCTGGATTTATCTTTTAATAGAGGCCCATGCCATGCTAGCTGCCTCTTGATAGCTGTATTTTCATGCCTTAGGTCCTTGAAATGAGAAATGCAGAAAGTCAAGCTGTCCATGAAGATTCTCGGGCAGCGAATGAGCATGCTAGTGCAATTCCTCATAATGATCTTGCTCGTCGCCCTGCACTGAATAGCGAGTTGCCTCACACTGAACTTACTGCTCTTCCTGGTCAAGCGCCTTACGCTCTCAATTTCAGCTTTGAAGAGCTGAACACTATCGGTCTAGAAGAAGCCCCACCCCGTCATAGTAACTTAAGCTGGCAGGTAATCTGTCCTCAAATAAGCTTTTATTTCAACCCATTCCCGTTATTTTAAGAACTGTAATTTTTTTATGACTCTGCTTTACAATTTTAAGGGATAAAAGTCTATGGCCAGAATCCTGGTGGCCATTTATACTGGTTAGGTCCAGTGGCATAAATCACAGAGGCAAAGGCAAATTGTTTCTAGTTGACAAGTTACTGCATGTGTTCCTCGGCTTGTATTCTGCCTAAACTAGTGGTAATTTGCCACTGTGATTTATGTCACTGTATTTATGCCTGTTTCAATTAATTGATAAGATTCTGGCCTGTATTTCTTTTAAAGCAAGAGGTGCATTGGTAGAATGTAGATTCATGCATGTGATAAAGACACATCATGTTTTTATATTCTTTCCTAGTTCAGAGTCCTTGTATATCTAGTTTGCCATCCTGCATACAGAGAATTCCCTGTATGGAAAAGAATTCCCCACTTTGCTTCAGTGGGGAGGGGGGAGTTCTGTATGTATAAAGAGGCAGATGACTGGAATGCCTTCTCCATTGAAATGAATGGAGATGTCTGCTCATGCAGCCATAGAATGGAATACATTGTATTGTGATGGTTGCATGTCTCTATATCCACCTGTCAGGAGTAATAGATGCTTAACTTTTATTCTAAGAGTCAGGTAAATGAATCCATTGAAGTTAAAAAAAAGTTCAAACATTGAAGTTGTCAATGAAAAATGTATGCACTGGATGAACATGCTACTTGATGCTTCACCAGATCGCATTCAGTATTCTCTGTGGCACTGAATAGTCTTGCCATGGCAGATCACTGTTCTGCGACAGACCTTCCTGAATATGAAGGCATTACCCCCATTAACAACCATGTTCTGGGGTCTAAGTGGTTATTGCTGACCTCTGGAGGCCTGAATAAATTGCCTCTCTGTGTATACGTGTGTACAGAGTTTTAGATTGTGTTCAAAATGTCCTTTCCAGTGTTTAAAAAGGGTGATACAATTCTACGAATTTTTGTACTGACTAATCTTCTTTCTCTTTGTATAGTCACAAGCCCACCGAACTCCAAGCCTTTCAAGCCTCAATTCTCAAGATTCTAGTATTGAAATTTCAAAGCTTACTGACAAGGTACAGGCAGAATATAGAGATGCATATAGGGAATATATTGCTCAGATGTCCCAGTTAGAAGGGGGTGCAAGTTCTAGCACTGTGAGTGGTAGATCTTCCCCACATAGCTCAGCAGCCTTCTACATGGGCCAGAGCACCTCCACAGGCTCCCTGCATTCCAGGGAACAAGATAAGGGAAAAGATCCTGAACAAAAACAAGATGATGGAAGAAAGGCCTTCTTGATTAAACGCAACGATGTCACAGATTATAGCAATTCAGGTGTATCAACTAATGATGCCTCTCCATTGGATCCCATTACGGAAGAAGATGAAAAGTCAGATCAGTCCGGATCCAAGCTTCTTCCAGGGAAGAAATCGTCGGAGAGAACCAGCATTTTCCAGGCTGCAGATCTAAAGTTGAAAGGGGTAGCTATGCGCTATCAAAAGCTTCCAAGTGATGAAGACGAGTCTGGAACAGAAGAATCTGATAACACTCCCCTTCTTAAGGAAGGTAAAGATAAAAAAGCAGAGGGGAAAACAGAGAAGCAGCCAAAATCTCCTGAGCATGGAGCAGAGCCCATCAGAACCTTGATTAAAGCAAAGGAGTACTTGACAGATGCTCTTCTGGACAAGAAGGATTCCTCTGACTCCGGGGTGCGATCCAATGAAAGCTCTCCAAACCATTCTCTCCATAACGATGGTGACGACTCCCAGCTTGAGAAAGCAAATCTTATTGAACTGGAAGATGATAGCCGTGGCGGGAAGAGAGGAATTCCCCATAGCTTGAGTGGTCTTCAAGACCCAACCATGGCACGCATGTCTATTTGCTCTGAAGATAAGAAAAGCCCTTCAGACAGCAGCTTAATAGCAAGCAGTCCTGAAGAGAACTGGCCGGCCTGCCAGAAAGTCTACAATTTAAATCGCACACCTAGTACAGTCACCCTCAACAACAACAGTGCACAAACCAACAGGGGCAATCAAAATTTTGAGGAGCCTGATAGTATCCGAGAGCCTTCTCAGATTGTTCTGCGTCCTGGATCAAGTTCAAATTCTGTGGCAGTACATAATGATAACCTTAAAGGCGTGGCTCACAAACGCAGCCAACGTTCAGGTTATGCCAGGCTTTCTAAAGAAGCTTCTGAGCTCCTTACCGTTACTGGCTCTGATGCTGCAGGCTTTGGAGAAGAGAGAGAGAGTATTCTTTAAAAGAGAGTCGGGTTAAAATAAGGCTGCCGGAACAATCATGTCTCATTCTTCAAACACTCCTCCCTTGTTTAATAGAGCCTGATTGAGCTTATCCATGTCTGTTGCTATGGCTTAGTTCCCTGACCTCCCCCAGCTCACATGGTCGTTATCCCAGAAAACAGAATGTTCAGTTTAGCCAAGGTTAAGCATGTCTTAATTTCCTGTAGATTTCAGAGCGATAGATGTAAGCATATGATTGAAATTGGTGGGATAATAGCCAAAATATTAGAGCGTATCCTTCTCAGAAATAATGATGGATCAAATTCCATATTCCATATGATGGAAAGGGGGGAAACCCTTTTAAAATATAGATGAATTCATGGAAACACATCTGAATAGTTTATCTCTATCTCATAAGACCCAGTGTTTTGATTTCTTTTTAAAAACATCCACTGGGAAAGAAAGGGAAGGAATTTATCATGCCAAAGTAAAGTAAAAGGCTAGAATAGTTTAAGCCCAATATCCACAGAAATCATTGCTAACTTAAAGTTTCATGTTCTTGAAAGTATTGATGGTGTGAGTATTGATTCAAGACGTTTAAAATGTAGCTCTTACTAATTCTTTTTAGGTGAAACTGTCTCGGGGAGGTCCCAGTGGGTGACAGTTTGATCAAGTTTTAAAACAGTTACTGCATGGTGAACAATTGTGGCCGAGGTTAGAATGTATTTGGCTGGATTTTCTGCTCATTTTTAGTGGTGTGTATGAGTAGTATTAAATAAACAGTACAGTCTAGCTGTGACCATGGTGTTATTCGGAGCAGTATTTGGATGTAGACTTTTGAAAATGTTATGGATATTTATGGTTTTTAAAATGGCATTTGATTAATAGGTTTTATCTGATTGTAGAATGCAAAAAGGAGTGGGAGGTTATCATTACCTCAGTAGTAAGTAAAAAAAATCTAATATTTGCCTCTGTGTAGCAAAACAGCACATAATTGTGTCCTTCCAATTTTAATGTGTTTCTGATGTCAGTAATCTGTACGGCTGTCAAAATGTGCATGGTTTTGAATACCATTGATGAGATGCATGTATTGCACTAGTAGAGAGAAGACAATAAAGTAACAGGCATGCTGCTCTTGTGTTGGACATTTTAATGTATATTTAATGCATCTTCAGCAGTTAGAAGCAACATTTTTACCAAAGTTATTAGCCAGACAATGAGGGAATTGATTTTTTAAAAAATCTTGGCCATTCTTAAAAACCCATCAAGCTGGATGAGGACCTGATATCTGCCCTGCAACAATGAAATAGTTTTCACTGTTTTAAAAAAGAAGCTTCTTTTGCTTGATTTAACAGCCTGACTGAAGATTTTAGTCCCTAACCGCTTGGCTGTATATGGATCTTTGTTTGCTGAGAGGCTGTGCCATTTGCTTAAGTGATAGTGAGAAATGTATGCGTGCATTCCCAGTTCGCCTTGAGGGCAGAATCCAGCTCCACCAGTGAACGGCTCTATCAGAAGAGCGGGGCGGGGGCGGGATTCACTTCTCAGTATTCCTGGCTGCCACCCTAAATATGTTCTGAACTGGGAGACCCTCCCAAGAAGATGTTTACATTCAGAGGAGGCAGTGTTGAAAATTGTTGGCCTCCATCATCCAGTTTTCACGATGTATGGAAACTGGCTGGATTCTGTCCAGAGCAGGGTTTTTTTTCCTCAGTGGGCAATAACCACTGTGGACTTTGATGTGCATGCAAAACCTTTAGCAATTCACAAGCTGCACAGTCCCAGAGCACCCCAAAAGAAGGGAATGGTAAACCACTTCTGAGTACTATGCACATATAAAACCCTGGAAAAGGTCACTGGAACCCAGAATCTCACTGGATAGCATGCCGTTGCTTATTCATTGTGAGGGACTGTGTGTGGATGGAGGGTCCAGTTATTTCAGTGAAATGTGTTTCCACATTCTAAACAAGGGGATGGCATGATTTATGTGACTGGGGTCTGTTTTGCACGCATTTATTTTGGAATTTATGGAGCGTCCCTAGATAATTAGATGATCTAATCTGTGATAATAAAAAAGGATGTCTATCAGAACCCGAGTCCCAAAAATCACGAAACGTGGGCACCTGAAATTTGGTGTTCCTTTGAGATGTTCATGTTCAGACGATTTTATTTTTAACGTGCATTTATTAATTTTAGTTAATTGGAATGTGTCCATCTGTTTTAAGGGGGCAAAGCAGTTTTAGCCAATTGGTGGCAGAATTCCCTAATCAGTTGAGAGATGTTCAGTCTGTACAAATGGAGGGAGGGATGAATAGACGAAGGGTAAAATAATGGGTTGTCCCTTTCTGAGCGATAAGGTAATGTGCATCCACAGTCTTGAATGGGTAGCCCCTTTCCTCAGGGAACTGTGGGTGTATTGCATGGCACCTTTTTGTGCCTGTGGGACCTTTGCTCAGACAGGGGGAGCACAGTGCTTCTCGTGTTTGACAACCGTGTAACTTTGCTTGCAGGCTTCAGTGTTTCAAATTAAGGGCTGTTCTAATACATCTGAAACTGGATGCTTTCGCTAGTGTTGCACATTAAAGCTGTTTTCGAAATAACTACATTTAATGAGTTAAATGAAACCTAACTGAGTTGCCTTTTTATTGAAAACTCTTTATTGGTATTTACAGGCTGAATACTTACATAAATAGAGAGGGGATCGATATCCTCATAATGAAAATGGGGAAAATTGAGGAAGATAATGACTGAAGATTGAGATTCCAAAGGCACAGGAGAAAGAAAGCCAGGTCTGAGTTAGAGCATAATGGGTGCTTGAAATTGTTGATGATGAATGTTATATATAAAACACTTTAGCAGAATTAATTGTTACATTTCCTTTTCCTAGAACTTCCTCATAAAGCCATTTGAATCGCAACTAGTCATGTTTTTACCCAAGCCTGTTTCCAAAGAACCACGGAATTAAGTTGTGGGAGTGCTGAACAAAGGAGTCTAAGGCTGCCGCCCTCTACATCTTTGCTCATACAAGAGTCTCACTGAGTCTTGTCTGAGTTCAGTGGGGCTGATGAGGATAAGATTGCAGTCTTAGATTCTCCCCCCCCAAAAAAAACAACAACACTGGGTCCTCAGCCTCTTCTATCAGATGATATGCTTCCTTCAAAATTGAAAAGCATTTTCAAGAAGTGTTTTCTGATATGCCGAGAGTTGGGCAGGAGAATTGGCCCATGGTATTTTTAAAAGCATTCTAGCTTAAACATCCAGCTGAGGTTGTAGTGCATGTTGTGTACTTCACTGTTGAATCCACCTGATTAGGACAGCTACCTACCTTTATTGGGAGTAAGTTTAATAGAATTCAACGTGAAACATACAGGGTGAAAGGTGGATTATAAAAATTGACAAGGTTAATGTTAAATACTTTGATTGGTTTCACCTAGGTATGATAATTGCCATATAGCCACACGCACACACACAAATTTTTACAGAGCTGTGTTTTTCTGCTCTGTTAAACAAACTATAGCTAGCCGAGAGTTAGGTATTTGTTCCCTTCTTCTCCACTGGCGTGCTCCAGAGGAGAAGACGGGTGGCATTTGCTTCCTCTGTTATACTGCATTTCCTAGTAAGATCAACACTCGGGGATTTGCTTAAATTGATCAAACGGATACTGTTTTTTCTTCACTTGGAATGTAAAGAAACCACTCAAGGTTGGAAGTAGCAGGGAGTTGTGGTTTGTTTAAAAGTAGGTGCTTCCAGTTTTCTTCTCTGGCATGCATGAGTGGGGAGAAAGCACAACCAGAAATTTGCCACCACTCGTTCATTTAACAGAAGCCCATGCCCCCTGCTGTGTCTCAGTTCTTTAATATCAATATGTCTAATACTGTTAAAATGCTGTTTTTGCAATAATGCTATATACCAAGCAGATTCACCAAGACAAGGCCTATTTTTGCTTGCCCATTTGAGCGAATTCTAATTGTCTACCCACTTCTTTGCCTTCTGCATTTTAAAATGTTCCGCTGTTTCAAGGGTTTATGATTTAGAGAAGAGGAAATATTGCTTAGAATTTGCAGTTATTAGATTTCTGAAGAGTTAGGGCAGTAAGTTTGTGATTAAGGTGATGTTTTGCATTATGGCTCCCTCACAGTGCCTTGCATGTTTGACTCATTTCTAAGTCAGCATGTGGCTATTATAAACAGAAGGCTTTGGCCACCAAAAGATGGACTGGATTTGTCAGGTCTTGTGCTAGAAGCCTCCTGAAGCTATGTGCAGAATCTGTGTCTTCAGAATAAAGGTTTCTTTGTGTGATTTCTCACACTCCTTATTGTTATCATAGAGTGTTCAGATATGGTCAAAATCTCAAAACATAAATGGGACGACTGTGTGATCTGTTAAATGTTGGTCATGAATTAGTTTCTCTTTAGAATGGTGGAAAGGAACAATGCCTGATATATCCAACACTTAGGCGAAAGCTCCATTTCTCCTGAAAGTTCCTCAAAGAGCAATTCTACTCTGCTGTTAAATTTCACCAAGCTTGACTGGTATCATTTGTTCCCTCTCAAACCTCCATCAAGAATCAAGAATTCATAAGAGTTCTTTTCCTGAAGTGGTTTATCTTAATAGTGAAGAGGAACTGAAATTCTTCTGATGCCAGAGCTTTCTGTGTTGTGTTATCTCTCTCTCTCTCTCTCTCTCTCTGGGAGTGTATTTGTGCACATACATGTTGGAGAATGGCAACATTTATTCTTCCCCTTCAGTGGGATTCATCTCCTAACCTGGCTTTAGCTCAGAAGCATAAAATATACAAGAAACAGATATCTTTTCTTTATCTGCTCTAAAGGCACCCATCTGCCCAAGCTGAGCACAGAATGATAGAAAATGGCTTTCTTCTACATAGCAGCTGTGACCAACTCCCTCCCAATAAGCTTAGGAGAAAATAATCGGCACTCCCCATTCATGGACATCTGTTGTGTCAATAGAAACAAATAGGCCAGCAGCCAAATGTATGGGCATAGGAAGTCGTCTAGCTGGTTACATTTCTAGAGTTTTGTGTTTCTCACCCTTTTATCACTCCTGGAGCAAGTAACTGTGTTGGTTTGTACTCTGAGTGGAACACACTGAAGTGTGGGACCTTAGAGTGCAGTGCTCTGGAAGCAGGAATTCATTTGTGGTTTTTTTTAAAAGTACCCAAGATCAATATCTATCTATGAAAGAAGGCTCTCTGTGTTAGCTGTTCTAACACAGTCCTGGGGAGCAATTTCTAAGAAGATTCAAAGGTTTCACAGAGCCAAAAGGAACAAAGCAGTTCTAAGATTATTATATTACTATATTAATAAACCGTCCTAAGAACAAGAAAAAAATGAAACCAAAATTGGCTGAAAGTGCACTTGAAGTTTTCTGAAAATACAGTATGCTCTTTAAAAAAATCTCAGAAACATGAAGGTAGCGGTACGTGTTCATTGGAAGATGACTTCATTTTTTCCCACACAAAGTGGCGAAGGAAACTGGGAGTGCCTTGGAACTCAAGGACTAACCTTGATGTCTTAGGTCACATGATTCTGGCCATGCCTCAGAGTATGTCAAGAGATGTTCTTCCCAGGATTTATTGCTGTGTTAAAAACATGCACACATGTTTGTAGAGCTTTTGGTTCAATATAGCTTTCCTTCCTCAAATTGTCTAAACCAAGGAAAGGGTTTGGGGACTAGAACATAGTTTTTTAGTCTGTGTTCTGCAGAGTAGGCATGGCAGCATTAGTTCACATGAGAAGTTAAAGGGTGTGTGTGCTTCTTTCTTGTATGTGTTGCACTTACTCACACTTTTAGCTTTACCATTTCATTAAGTCCAGAAACATATTTTGGCACAGAGAGATTACAGCCACACTCCAGGTGTTTTTGCCTCTGTCCTCCCCCAGCAATCAGTACACGTGCTCATCTATTGGGATGCTCTAGCATTCAGGGGAATTTCTGTTGGAGTTTGCATGTAATGTACTTATACTTAACTCTGTCATTTGCTGCAGAGTATTGTGCCTGCATAGAAGAAGATGCCAAACCTTAAAGAGCAAAGGGCAACCTGAATGTTCACAACACCAATGGCAGCAGTCAAGATGGTCTACAGCAGTGGTCCCCAACCTTTTCCAAACCGTGG